AGGGGATTCCCGCTGGCACTTCCTGCCCGGCTGGGTGGGAGCAGGAAGGAGGGGGTCAAGGCAGGGGGTCTCCCTTACCTGGCCCCCTCCTGCTTCCAGCCTGCTGGGCAGGGAGCACCCATGGGTCATCTGGGATGGTGGTGCTGAAGCAACAAGCATCACAGCACGACAAAAGGGTTGCACTTTGCACAGTGATGCAAAGGTGCTCGGTGCTCACTGAAACTCAGTGAAACGTGAGTGCTGATAAGACACTCCAGAAACAAACCAAACCCTGACCCCCCAGCTCCTGTAGGGGAGCAATGGTGAATCTGAGGGGTTTCCAGGTCCCCAGCAGGGTTCTGTGGGTCTGAATAGATGGTGGCCATGCTTCCCAGCACACATCACCCCTAAGCCAAGGGGACGGCTGCCGCAGGTGGCCTCTCTCCCCCTCCCGCCCTTCTCTGGCAACCGGCGCCATCTCTGCAAACAAAGGGGAGGGTGTGGGACGCAGGTGACGGTGACGGAGGAGTGGAGAGGAGCGTCCAGCAGCGAAACCCCACCCCGGGCAGGCGCTCAAGCTGGCTTAAAAGCGCAGGTGCACCCAGGTGTAAGCTGATCCCCCAAGGGCTGCAAGCAGCGAAGGGTGACGGCGACAGTTTCGGTCCGTAGGCTCTTCTCCGCCATCACTTGGAGCACAGCAGCAAACCGGCCACCATGTCGATGGGGTTGGAGATCGGTGGAGTAGCCTTGGCGGTGCTGGGCTGGTTGTGCAGCATCATCTGTTGCGCGTTGCCCATGTGGAGGGTGACGGCCTTCATCGGCAACAACATCGTGACGGCCCAGATCATCTGGGAAGGGCTGTGGATGAACTGTGTGGTGCAGAGCACAGGGCAGATGCAGTGCAAGGTCTACGACTCCATGCTGGCCCTGCCACAGGACCTGCAAGCCGCCCGCGCCCTCCTGGTGGTGGCCATTGTCTTGGCCGTCCTAGGCTTAATGGTGGCCATTGTGGGCGCCCAGTGCACCCGCTGCGTGGAAGACGAGAGCACCAAAGCCAAGATCACAATCGTCTCCGGCGTCATCTTCCTCCTCTCCGGCGTCATGAACCTCATCCCTGTCTCCTGGTCGGCCAACACCATCATCCGGGATTTCTACAACCCGCTGGTGATCGAAGCGCAGAAACGGGAGCTGGGCACCTCGCTCTACGTGGGCTGGGCAGCCTCTGCCCTCCTGCTGCTGGGGGGGGCCCTGCTCTGCTGCTCCTGCCCCCCCAAGGATGACAGGTACCCCACCGGCAAGGTGGCCTACTCTGCCCCACGCTCCGCAGTCACCAGCTACGACCAGAGGAACTATGT